AGGTTTTGTTAGGGGTTTTTTGTATTTAAAATAAAGGCCAAAAAAATTGTGCCAAAAATACTTAAACCCTGAAATATATATACTGCAGAAGCAATGTGTACAGGATAAATTGAGAGTACTTCTACTTTTTGCATCAAGACACCTACTACAAATGCAGTACAGATCAGCCTTCTATTTTAAAACTTAGCATGTTCTTTTTCCTCCAAATAGAAACAATCCTTATCCTTCCTTGTCCAATAATTAATCCAGTCTTAACTTTGTAGAAGTTGTACTGCAAATGAAGAATAAGCATGTTTTGTTTTCAGTGTTAACTAGCACTGGAAGAGAGAGAACAACAATCATCTCCCAGCCAGTGCAGACATTCTGACTTCCAGATTATAGTACATTGCTGTGCTTCCTCCAAATCCTGTTTACATGAGCAAGGTCAAGGGGATGGAACATTAGAGAGCCTCTATAGTGATTTCCTGCTGCTGTCAGTAAAAACTAGAGACACCATCAACTTTCCCTTGTTCCCAACAGCTTATCAGGGACTGGAGGTTACCAATGTATTGCCTTACAGAATTGGAAAAAACCAACCTCCTTCAAAACTAAAACTAAAGTCAGAGGATGAAAAAGCAGGAAATAGTCCCAAAGGGAAACAGGCTTCAAATTTTCCCTTTCCAATAGTTCAAAAAGCAAAGGCAATATTAAGCTGCTTGACACATGGAAAAGAAGTGGGGCGAGAGAGGCAGTAATACTTTCAGGGTCTTCAATGAAATAAAAAGAAGAAACATCATCCCCAGGTCCCAAACCCTGACCCCAATTCAGTGAACATTTTCAGAATGTAAAAGCCTAGAACACATCTAATTTTTAGCAACTGCTACATATGAAGACTCTTACCATTTTGGAAAAGTCAGAACACGACACAAATACCAGTTACTTAAGCATGCGTAGCTCATTTTTACACTGGTTTCAGTAATACACAGGAGAACTGAATAAATGAATCACCAAATTCAAAGCTACTTCCTAATAATAATAATACACAGAGAGGAGTTGTTGATTTTGTTTTGCAATTATAGTCCAAAAGAAAATAGCTCCATACTAAACATTACACTGAAATTTTTCCACTGACAGAGTGACCACATTCCCTTCAGTAAGTTTACAAAGAAAGTTGCACCAGTGTGCAACTTAGATGGAAACAGGTTTTTCACCATGTTCAAAAAGAACTGGCCTTAGAACTAAGCTAGAACACAAGCTGAAAAGATAAGGTGTTTACAATTCAGGGAGTTTAATAATTTAAGTGTTTTCACAAGCACATTCATATCTGCATATCTTAGCTTAATCTTTGAAGCAAGAAAATACAACTAAATTTAAAAAACCCACGTAAGCAGGCATTTTAAGTGTGGAAGCAGTGATGGATTGTCGGCTTTGATGAAGCAAGAAATTAAAATTCCTTGAAAAGAGGAGGAGGAGTGGGAGGAAGATATAATAGCAGTATTTCCTCATACAGCTAAAGCTCAAAATATAAATGGATTGCTAAGAAAATATCTAAACACATATTTTAAATTCATAATAAAGAATCAAGAGTGTTAAATTTTTAAATATTTGTTTTTCAGGTCTTCTCCAGGCAGACTGTTGTCAAGAATAGATGACAGTGATACTTCACTGCACCTTAATTACCTGGAGTTGTGTGTCCTGCTTTGGGCTTCTTGACACAAGACAGACATTGACAGCCTGGAGCAAGTCCAGCGGAGGGTGAACAAGATGATGAAGGGGCTGGAACACTCAATATCAAGAAAACACAGAGAACCAATTTTGTTCAGACTTAAAGAAGAAAGGATACACCGAGATCTTCCTGCCTTCTCAAATATCTCATAGGTGAATAGAAAGAAGACAGACACTTAGAGGACCACTGTGATGGAATTAGAGGCAACAGACATGTTGGGACATAGAAAATATTTTAATCAAACACTAGAGCAGGCTGCCCAGGAAGGTGGTGGAATCTTCATCCTTACATATTATTAACAAAGGAACTGGACAAGTCTTTTAAGAACCTGATCCTAGTTGGCCTTGCTTTACAGGGAAGGTTAGATGAAATGCCACCAGACATCCCTCTCAGCCTACACTACTTTATCATTTTCATTAACAAATCTTCTCAAAAGGGAAGACAAGGAAGACCTTTTTGGTCTGTCACAAGTCATCTTAGGGGCAGGAATAGTGTATTTTCCATAAACCAGTACAACAGGACACAGTGCCAGCCGAAGAAAAGATTCTCAATAAGAGCACTTTCCCCTATTTCCTGGACTAGCTTGAGACCTATGGAAGCCTCCCTACTTACTGTTAGGAATTTCAATATATATTCAACAAAACATTACAAGGTTTTGCACAGACTTCCCATCTTCCTGAAGATATTTCAGGGAGGTTTAGGGAATTCATCACAGATCCTACAAAAGTTTCAATGTTGTTACTTGTCCCAGAGAAGCTGGGAATCTAATTACTGGAGACAGTAATCTGGGAAAGGCTATCTCTTTCTTCAGTAGAAAACTTAAGTATGTTGATTAGATACTTACAGTGGTCTAGGGACTTGCCAATGTGGTTTGTAAATAACCCTTAGGACCCTGCAGTGTTACATGTGTGATAAAGACATTGAATGAGAACCCTTAAAGATATCAGAAGGGCAGAAGAACTGCTTAAGCTAGAGCAAAACAATTCAAAAATATTAAGCCGGTATACATAGGACATTTGTAACTTAATCTGGCAACCTGATCAAAGACTTTTAGTCATTTGAACAGCATTTTTTCAGTAGAAGTAGGACCAAAAAGCCATAAACAGCTTTAAAATGGGTCTTGACATGTTTGCAGGGAAAAAAACAGTGCACACTGATACTGTCTTTGATAACCAGTAGAAAAAGAGAAATCCACTGGGGTTGGAATTAGGGAAAGGTACAGGAGGATGATGAATTAGACTAGAGGCTGGCAACCTCGAGATAGAGAAGGATATTTAAAAAAAAAAAAAGAAACACACAAATAATGCACAAAAGCAGTACCATTCTATTGAGGACAGACTATCAGGGGGAAATCTGGCAGCAAGGTGTGATGGGAGGCAGCCTAGCATCTGCCCTTTCCCCTTGATTCTTACGAGAACACACGAAGCCTCTATAGACAGGGTCTCTACACGTTAGGAAAACTGAGGCAGTTTAGATAAAGATGTCTAAGTCACTGAGATCCAGAACCCTTTAGAAACAAGATACAAAGAGACTAGGTGCTGGCCTGATTAAGAAACAGGTGATAATTCCACAAACAGAAACTGGTAATGCAGCAGACACTGGACAGGAAGATGACACTAAAAGATGAGTTGACATTAGAAAGCAGAGAGGACCAGATAGGTTGGCAAAGTTAGAGAAATGTTACTTACTATGGGAGAGGAAGGACACTAGTGGCAAAGAAAACATGCAAATGATTCCTGAATTTGTATCAACAGTGGTGTATTGAACAGGGAAGTTGTCCTTAAGGCTACAGTCCAAGTAACAAGGATACAGAAATGTTGCTAGACAGAAATAAGATGCAGATAGTGAATGCTGAAATGCAGAAAGACAAGAACCAATGATGAACAGTAGATTCTGATAATGGGGGAGGAAAGTAGCGATTACAGACACAGTCAAAAGACATAAATTTTGAAGCAAGATTTTTATAATGAAGATTGCAAAGCCAGCCCACCAGCAGTCAAAAGGATTCTGGATCTATTGGGTCAACGTGTTCCTACAACGGGATGAAGTTTTATCATCTCGAAAGAATTAATGGAGACTTAGTGATTGGCAGATTTACAGGTATGTAATAAAGACTTACAGTGTAACCATAAATTTGAATTCTGTGATGAGTAGTAAGTAATGAACACAGACTATTTAAAAGTGATAGGTAGCCAGTAAATTATATCCACCACAATCCATTGTCTGTCAAGCCTACTAAACAGACGTCTTTAAGTCTACAAATTACTTTTGACATAGGTTATCTTAATGAATCATATATCCATTCTGAAAACACAACTATTGCTAAACCTTAAAATATATGAAATTATCACCTCTCAAATACAAGTTATTATATACAAGTTATACAAGATTATTTGTTTTGAAGTAAAGGTTTCTCTTGAACAATCACCTCTGCATCATGATCTTCAATAAATGATCTTAAAGAATTTTATATAGTACCATCACAACCTATCTTTTTGTAAAGCATTCATGACAAAATAGAACAGCAGAAACCACACCTGCTGCCTATGCATATGTATTAACCCTTCAACCACACAAACTCTTTTTATGGTAACTAAAATTGCTCAAGATACAATTCATGCCTTTGCAGGAACAGATTCAAAGCTAAAAGAAAAAAAAAAATGCATTTCAGCCTAATTCTAGAACAGTATGTCTTTTAGATTTCGTACCAGGAGAGCATATTTCTCCTCCTACGAAACTACCGCTAAAACATTGCCTTTCTTTCCTCCCACATGCCATCCCAATATCATATGTAAAGCTAACACTAGAAGGCTCTACTCCTATCATTCTGCCTTAAAACATGTGACTTTTTTTCCTCCTAGAGAACTACTAAATACCTTAAAAGGAGAAAAATTAAAATGCCATTTTTGGAATTGTATCAACATGACAACTATTTGTTAGGTTTCTGATTATTTGCAGATAAAGGCAGAATTACAAAAAGCGTTTAAGAATAAGCCACAAATTTTAACTGGGATATTTAGATGTAATTAGCATGGGCTTATAAATAGAATTTCTGCTTAGTACAGAGGTAAAATTACTACTATAACATGAAAGCTTTGCTATTACACCATCTTCTGGTTAGGCTTGGTAACTGTGAAAGAAAGCTTGAGAATTCAGAATATTGAGCTCTAAGCACTTGACAATTGTTAGAAAACATATTTCATTCATACAGAAATAAAGAACACATTTCTGATAACATGTTACCTATATCCTATATTTTTTTCTTTTTCTTTTTGTTCTTTTTCAAGCAACTTACCGGAAGACTGAAAGATGAAGAGGAACTAATCTCTATGACAGGTGGGTCACGTGTTTGTGTATTAGTCACACCAAAGGTAGGGTTGACCTGTTGTAAATTAATTATAATATTGTTATTTCAGCACCAGCAGAGAAAGGAAAATAAGACTGAAATAAAAAGTGAGCACACACACAGCAGTCCAGACTAATCAGTTCCCAACTCACATTCAAGTTCCTCAAGTCATCTACCACAAACTGTAGACATATTTGCTTCTTATGTACCAACTCTGATTGTCAAAATAACTTGAAAAACACTGGTATGGAAAACAGGTAGGAGGTAACACTGAAATCTGTGATAAGTTAACTGGCCAAATACAAATGACTCTGTTCCTGAAACCAGAGGAAAAACTTTATAATGGGAAATGTCAGAGGCTGATTGATCAGATATGTCATCACATCTTCAATATTGCTCTCAATATCACAGTTGGACTATTTGCCTATTGATTGGTTGTAGCAGTTAATCTGTAACTTTAGCAATATTTTGCTGATATCCTTTCCTGAAACTGACGCATTAACAAAATGTCAGAAAATATGAGGTTTGAGAAAGTTGCTGCTTTTATTTATCATATGGTTTCACCTAAGGGATCAGAATAACCTCCTTGTAAAAATCAGTGTGCATATTTTCTCCACCATTATAATATCTCAGTCTATCACAGCCTAAGGTGGATGCCTTTCAAATCACCAAGAAGTCTGATGTAGTCGAGAGACATTAACTTTCTTCCTTTCAGCTTTTTATCAGTAATCCAATGGCAGCCTTATCAGAGACAGCTTTAATTCCAACCATCTTACTGAAAGTGAAAAAAATTTCAACCACCTTATTGAAAGTGAAAAAAAATTAAACAAATCTCTCAAAAACTCACACTTGCCTAGTGACAGAGTGACAGTCACTGAAAGTTTATTAGATACAAGGGTCATTTTATTTTACCTTTGCAGCAGGAAGATCCTACCATTTTACCTGAAGACGGTCAAAAACTCTGCTTAGCCAGAGCTGCTCACTCAGTAACAGCTTCAGTGCTACTTCCACAAGGAAAAATCCCTGATGCTAGGGTCTGTACATTGGCATATAGACCTTTAGGTCAGAGATATGTTTGTTAAATAGCTAGAATGAGACCTTAAATCTGGAATTAGTAACAAGGGAAGGAGGGGAACAGTACTTGTCTTGTACTGCCTGAAGTGTTTTTGTTCAATTCATTTGGATTTTCATAACATACATGCAGAAATTTAGGTCAAAATTAATAGAAGCCATATTGTCCTCAGTAAATGCAAGTGGAGAAAGAAGATGAGCAAAGTTTACTGGCAAGCTAGAAGGTAAAGAAACACTTAAATACAGATATTACTTGATTATTACCTAATTATTCAAGGTGAAAGTATTCGTCATATTTTGCAGCACTTACAAATCAGAGATGACAAGCCTTCCTTAAGGGGAGATCTCAATTCTGGTTTTAAGCTAGTTCACTTTTCTGACTAGCAGTGCTTAGCTCTTTCTTTGATTCAGTTTCAATAAGCCATTCTTCAACCATGACCTCTTTTTGTCCGTCTTCAGATTATAGTTGCATCAATCAGGAATGAGCAGAGACCCAGGGATAGTCTAGAAAATCCATCGTGCTACAGGGCCATCAGAGCTGAACACTTAAAATTCTCCCTCATTTGTAGGTATTAGGATCAAGTTTTGCTTTCTTCCAATTTTGTTAAATAAACTAGAAGGAAAGAAAGGAAGAAAAGAGAGCCAAAGCCAGGGAACAGAGTCTACATAATAACCTTCTATTTAGCTGAAAGTTCTACCATTTTAACTTGACTTCTCATTTAGATCCTTCTCTACAGAAACATGATTAATGAAAGTCTCCTCTGAACACAGCATTGCTCACCACTTTATCAGAGTTAAGGAGAGGAACTGCAAATTTCATTTTTTCCCCCTCTATACATACTCTCAAGATTAAACATAGAACAGTCCTCTAGAGCTTATATTTGTTCAGTGCCCAGCATAAGCAGAGTCCTTTGCTTCTGACATTCAGTCAGTTCTGCAGTAAATATAATTAAAGCATTATCCAAGTGTCAATCAGATTATGAGAAACTAAGACTAAAGTAATTTTCTGACATACATCACTGGGGCACTGAAAAGCAGAGAGGACCATGCACCTGCAGGATTCTGCAGAAGAGGGACAACAGGTGCCAATCACCTATCGATACTCTAATGCAGAGTAACTACTGTAGTATTGTTACTAATAGGTCTTGCAACTTCTTTTTTTTTAAGATAATATCTGTTATATCGAGAGATATTGCAGAATGATTTAAATGCTTTGCTTCATACAGGTTGCTAAATAAATGCATGGTATTATTATATTAAGAAAACATGCTCTTTATTTTTAAGAGTCATATCCTGGAGTTGGAATGAAACTCTCCTCTGCATATAGTTCTGCTTAAAGCTTTATCAGAGATGAGAGAATAAGAAGCACTGCAAACACTGACTAAGGGGTACAGGAACTGTCATAAGCTATATTAAAAACAATAAATATAAAGTTATTAAGCAGCTAGTCAGAAATTGCATCTAAAAAGTGTCTAAAGAAATGAACACAAAGTATCCCTTTTTATAAATATCAGTGCTTAACATTGCACTAAAAATGAATGAGATAACAGTATGAAGTTAATATGAAAGTTTCAAATGACTTGCTATTTCCTGACAAGGTGATTTAGTTAGCTGTAAAATAAACTTACCAAACATATTTGAAAAGACTTAACTTTAAGAAAGAAGACAGAAAAACCAGAAGACATAAAAAGCAAGGTATGGAGAACTGTCATG